AAGAAGAATAAGATGATGGTAATGAGATATGATGAGTGTAATGATGATGAAGATTGAAACATTATGTAAAAGTATTATTATATTATTAATAAAAAGTCAAGTTAAAAAAAATGATTGAAAAATTGAATCAATTATTTAATAGTTTAATGTCATCACAACAAAAGATGAGTGAATTGTCATTATTTGGAAAGTTATCATCTTCATCATCACTGACACAAATATTAATATTTATTATTAGTATTATAACAGGTGGATTCCGATATTATCAAACAATTAATAATAATAGAAAATCAATAACATTTAATTCAATACCATCACTACAATCATCCAATAATAATAATAATAATAATTTATCATCATCATCAATAACATCATCAAATGTAAATAATCAACAACAACAACAAATAAGGAAAGTATTAACATCACCTTATTTTGGAGAGAGACCACATTATTTTCTACCACCATCAGATGTAGAACAATACAGAAAAACCATCAGTAATAATTCTAATAATTCTAATAATTCTAATTCCAATAATAATAATAATAATATTAAAAAACAAATAGAACATTATTATATTCCATATCCAAATGATCCACCACATACATTTCCATCAATCAAGGCTAGAAATTTATTTACAAAATCACCTAAAAAATTAAGTCAAATTTATATAGAAAGAATTGATCCTATTAATAGATCTAATTTAAGAACAGGTGCTAAATTAAAAGTACCTTTACAACAATTAGAAGAAAGATTTAGAACTGTTTATTCAAATGCAAATGAAAATGGTTTAGAAATTACTATTAATAGTAAATCAGATAAACCTTTTGAAAAATTAGGACATTTTAAAAATGATCATGTTTATGATTTTCATAGTACAGATGGTTTATTATCTCCTCCTTTATATAAATAATTTAATTTAATTATTTTAATTGAATAATAATAATTAAATTATTATTAATTAGAAGGAATTATCATAATATTATTGATATAATAGACAAGAAACTCTATTCAAATAATAATAATTAAAAATATTGAAAAAGAGAGATAATGGTCTGAATCGAACATTTTCATAGTCTCTAATCAAATGTCAAACCATAAAAAAATTTTATCAATAAAAAATTTCATAACAATAATCATCATCACCACCACCGCTATCAAATACTATATTGTTATTTATTGTAGTATTCTAATACAATTGTGATAGTAGTATATAATAGTAGTTTAAACATATTTTTATCATCAACACCATCATTTAATAAATACAATACAACAATCTATTCCGAATCATTACATCAACTTTAATAACATTTTTAAACAAATATCAATATAATAATAATCGATCAACAAATTACAAAATATGAAAAATATAAAATTAATAACATTATTACTAATAATATTATTAAATAATTTAATAATAACAAATATTAAATGTATTTCAAGTCAAGAATTTTCATTTTCATCTTTACCTTCCTATAAAGGTACAAATTATTTGAATTTAAAAGGTAATAGTGGATTTTTAAATAATAAATATGGTCAATTATATTTTCTATTAATAAATCAACATGATGAAAAAGGAAATTCAATTACAAATACAAATCCATTATTAATATTTTTAAATGGTGGACCTGGTTGTTCAAGTTTAATTTCTACTTTTTTAGAAATTGGACCAATTAAATTTAATTTAAATCAAACTTTGACTGATAATTTAAATTCCTATTCTAGAAATTTTAATGTTCTATTTATAGATAATCCAACTGGTGCTGGATATAGTCCATATATAGAAGTAAATAATAATAATGGAATGAATGCTATTCAAGTTGGTGAACAATTATTAAATGCTTTATTAGATTTTTATTCTAAATTTAGTGAATTTAAAAATAGACCACTTTATTTATATGGTGAATCATATGGTGGTAAATATGTCATTTCATTTGCTAAATTTATTAGTGAATATAATGATGATAAAAAAAATTTACAAAATCAGTATGTATTTTATTTTTTTTTTAAAATATTTAATTTTAATTATATAAAAATAATATTTTATAATAAAATTAGAAGGTATAATAATGGGTAATGCATGGATATCACCTGATATACAAGAAAATAGTTATGGATTATTATCATATATAGTAGGATTAATTGATTATGAAAATTTAATTCAAATTAATTCATTACAAAAAACATGTCATGATTTTATAGAACAAAAAATGTATTCAAAAGCAGATTCAACTTATTGTTCAAGTGCATTAAATAATTTATTACAATCATCTGGTGGTATTAATATTTATGATTATAGATTAATTGGTACATATAGTATTTTATCAAAATTAGAAAGTTATTTAAATATGGAAAGTGTTAAAAATGTTTTATTAGGAAATTTAAATAAGGATGATTATTTATATACTCAATGTAGTTCTAAATTATGGAATGATTTTAAAAATGATTTTCAAGTTGATTATGTTAATTATTTAATTCCATTATTATCTAAATATAGAATTTTAATTATAAATGGTCAATTTGATATTAGATGTTCTGTTTATGGTACAAATGAATATTTAAGATTAATGAATTGGTATGGTAAACAAGATTTTAATTATGAACCACATTATCCTTTTTATTCTTCTTCTATTTCTAATAATAATAATAATAATATAAATGGTAATACTAATAATAATAATAATATAATTTTAGGAATATTTAAAAAATATGAAAATCTAAGACAAGTAATTTTATATTCAAGTGGACATTTATCACCACATGATGTACCATATGCTTCATTTGAAATGATTTCAAGATTTTTATATAAAAAATCATTTTGTAATTATACAAATATGGAAAGTGAAACATCAACAATTGAATGTAATGATTTTAAAATTGATTATCAAACAAATACAATGAAATGTCCAAATCAATGTTCAAATCATGGTAAATGTTTAATTAATTCTAAATGTGAATGTGAATTAGGTTATTATGGAAATGATTGTTCTATAATTAGAAATGATATTACATTTGGTAAACAAGCTATTTATAATAATAATTTAATATTTGGTAATAATTATCATTTATATAATTTATTAATTCCATTTGATAATTCAATTGGTTTATTTGATATTCGTTTAATTTTAACTAAAACTTCCAAATTAGGAAAATTACATTTATATTTACAACCAAATAATGAAACATTTTTAAATATTACAAATAATTTTAATGATAATTTTAAAAATATTTTTAATTATTATGATTTGGAAGATGTTAATGAAAAAACTTTACAAATTTCAAATTTAAATAGAAATTCAACACATTCACTTACTATAATTGTATTAAATACTGTTGATACTGAATCTAATTATAATTTAATTGTTGAAACTATTGTAAGTGGTAAAAAATTAGATCCACTTTTAGTTTTATCAATCATTTTATTTTCATTTCTAGTCATTGTTAGTATTGCTTTATTTGGAATTTATATAATACAATATTATAATGATAGAAAATTATTACAAAATATTAAATATGAACTAGTACCAAATCAATAATTATAATAATAATAATAATAAAAATATAAATTTATTTTTAAAACGTTTTCATCTTTTTTAAACTGTGGTCTTGTTAATGATGTGATGGTTCAATTTCCCGCCAAAAAACAAATCAAAACGTTGAAGTTGAAAAAACATTTTTAAAAAAAAAATGTTATCACTCTCACAACAACAACAACAACAGAGAGGTGGTAGTGGTGGTAATGCCTCCAACAATAACAATAGAGGAGGAAGTAATAATAATACTCTTGACAATAATAACACTACAAAATCATCAATTCACATGCCAGATTATATCCGAGAAAAGGAAACCATTAAAAAATTCCTATTAGAATTTACATCAGTACAATTTAATGAATTATTACAGGAGAGTGAAATGATTTTTCCATATAAAAAGTTAATAGATCAATTAAAATTACATCAATTAGAATATTCTGATGAAAAGATTAAATTTCCCATTCAATTTGATGATTTACAAATTGGAGGTTTTAAAGATTTAATGTTTAAAATACAAGAAAATGGAATGAGATATAAAAAATTATTTGAAAATGTTATTGATCAATTAATTCAATTAGAAAATGATGAATTTGATGATTTAATGAATGAATGATAATCATCATGATCATCATGAACATTCCAATAATAATAATAATTCCAATAGTTCTAATAATGGAATACCAAGTGAATTGAATAGAAAATATGAATTAACATTTCAACCTAAAACACATCAACAACGTACAATACCATTAAGATTAATTAAAGGAAAACATATTGGTAAATTAGTAACAGTTAGAGGTATTGTAACAAAACAAACAGATGTTAAAGCAGAAATGAAAGTAGCAACTTATAAATGTGATACATGTTCTGGAATGATTTATCAAACAATTAATCAAACATCATTCATTCCAATTGAAACATGTGTACAAAAAGAATGTAAAGGAAATTTATTACAACAAACAAGAGAATCATGTTTTGTTAAATTTCAACAATTAGTTATTCAGGAAATGTCAGATGAAGTACCAACTGGACATATACCTAGAACTATGAGAGTTGTTATGAGAGGTGAATTAACTAGAACATGTACACCTGGTGATTCAATTACTTGTTTTGGTATATTTTTACCTTATCAAGTGAGTAGTGGTAATAGTGGTGGTGGTAGAAATAATCATCATCATTCAGGAGGAGGACCTGTTGCAACAACCTATTTAGAAGCACATTCAATTTTAAAACATAAGAGAAGATATACAGATTTAAGTGAATTGAGTGAACAAGAACAAGCACTAATGATTAAAATTGATTCAGATATTAGAAAGATGGGACATGATCAATGGTATGATAAATTATCAAAATCAATAGCACCTGAAATATATGGACATGCCAATGTTAAAAAAGCACTTTTATTAATGTTAATTGGAGCACAAACACGTGAAACTAGAGGATTAAAAATTAGAGGAGATTTAAATGTAATTTTAATGGGTGATCCAGGTGTTGCAAAATCTCAATTATTACGTTTCATTTCACATATATCACCACGTGGTATTTATACAACTGGTAAAGGATCAAGTGGAGTTGGTTTAACTGCAGCTGTTATTAAAGATCCACTTACAAATGAATTAATTCTAGAAGGAGGTGCATTAGTATTAGCAGATAATGGTATTTGTTGTATTGATGAATTTGATAAAATGGAAGAATATGATAGAACTGCACTACATGAAGTTATGGAACAACAATCTGTTTCAATTGCTAAAGCAGGTATTACAACTACTTTAAATGCACGTACATGTGTATTAGCTGCTGCTAATCCTGCATATGGTCGTTGGAATACTAGAAGATCTGTTTCTGAAAATATTAATTTACCACCTGCTCTAATGTCACGTTTTGATTTGATGTTTTTACTTTTGGATAAACAAAATAATGAATTGGATATGAATTTAGCAAGACATATTACTTTTGTACATCAATTTTCACAAATACCATCTAATAATTCAAATACTAACAATTCAAATAATACTACTACTACTGGTAATTCAAATGAAGAAGATGAAGAAGAATAAATTATTTTCACCTGAATATATTAGAGCAGTTGTAACTAGAGCTAAAACATTTGAACCTTATTTATCAGCACAAGAAGGATTTGGAGCCAATACAGCCTCTAATAAGATTAAGGAAATTTATATTACAATGCGTCAAAATGATGAACGTAATTCTAAAGTGAGTGATAAGATTCAAATGTATACAACACCTAGAACTATTTTATCAATTTATAGACTTGCTGAATCAAAAGCAAGATTAAGATTTTCATCTAAAATTGAAATTAGTGATGTTAATGAAGCAGAAAGATTAATTTTAGAATCAAGATCTTCACTTTTAGATGATAGTGATAGAAGTCAAAGAAGATCTGATCCAATGTATGGTGTTTATGATATTATTAGAAATAGATTACAACAATCTACAAATGGTATTATTGATATGGCTGGTTTACAATCTGAATTAGTTGGTTTTAGACAAGAAGATATTACAAGATGTTTAAATCATTTTGAAGAATTGAATATTTGGATGACAACTGATACAACTGTACAATTAGTTAGAACTAATTAATTTCATTCATCTCATTCATTTTATTTATCATAGAATTTCATATTTAGAAGAATAACTTGAAAGTAACAAGTCAAGTTATCATTTAATAATATATCAATAAATTAATTTATTCTCTTTAATAAAACACCATACATTCCATCTGAACCATCAATGGTTGGTAAAATCTTTACAGTGTGAACGAGTTGGAAATTCTTGTACTTTTTCAAAATCCATTCCAATTGTTTTTCATTTTCCTTTTTCAAAATTGAACATGTAGAATAGAGGAAATAACCATCTTGTTTAACGAATGGAATTGCTTTTTGAATAATATCACGTTGTTTTTCAGTTAATTCTTGTAACCATTGATAATTAATCTTGTACTTGGTTTCAACATTTCTTCTCAAAGTACCTGTTCCTGTACATGGAACATCACACAATACTAAATTCATTTTATCTTTCAATTTATCCCAATGTGAATGATCATGTTCAATGGGTTGAATATTTTCAATTCCTAATCTTTGTGCTCTTCTTTTTAATTCGGGAAATAATTTTTCAGAACGTACATCATGCATATAAATTTGTCCCTTTCCATTTAAACAACCTGCAAATGCAAATGTTTTACCACCAGTTCCACAACAATAATCTAAAATTAATGGTTTTAATGTTTTAATTTCTTTCATTACAATATTTCTAATTAATTCTTGAACTATTAATTGAGATGATTCATCTTGAATATCAAATAATCCTTCTTTATATTCTTTCCATTGTCTAAATTCTGCTTTTTTTTCAAATTTAAATCCAAATTTAGAATTTTCACTTGGTAATATTTGTCCAACAATTTCAGAATAATTATTTGATAATCTATTAATAAACTTTTTTAATATTATCTTTTCATTTGAATTGTTATTAGAAATATTAGAAGAATTAGAATTATCATTATTTTCACTATTATTACTACTGGTATTATTACTACTATTATTATTATTAGAAATAATATTACTATTATTAGAAAGAGAATTAAATTTCAAATCATTTAAACGAGCAAAAACAGGAGCTTCAGTTAAATTAATTTGAGATAATTCAATAGCATATTGTAAATTATAATCTTCTTTAAATAAATCAAATAATTGAGAAGGACAACTAGTTAATATATTTTTAGGAATATTACCAAATTGAGAATATAAATCATTTATAGAATTAATAAAATTTTTAGTATAAAATCTATCAATATAAATAAAATAAATTAATCTCCAATGTAAAACAGTTTTCTTATTTTCTTCAACAAAAGTTACTGATTTTGGTAATAAATTTGAATTTGGACCTAATTGTTTAATTTTAATTTGATTAATTCTATTTATATATTGATCTAATGAAATTAATAATTTAGATTCAATTAATTTAAAATCATAATTTTTAATTAAATAATCTAATAATAAATATAATTTTTCAATTTCATAACATGAAGAAATAATTAAATGTTTGTTATTTTTTCCAATATTATTTTTTTTTAAATAATTTGAAATAAATAAATCTAATGGATAATTTGATTGTTGAATTAATATTTGATGATAATGATATAATATTGATATAGTATGTCTTTCTACAAATGGAAAATTATTTAATGTTGATTCTTGTTGAAGATTTTCTTCAAATTGTTTAATTTGTTCTAATTTTGCAAGAATTTCTTCTTTTGGATATTTTTCATTCTTTTTATTATTATATGATATGATGATGATTTGTTATTATTATTAGAATTATTATTAGAATGTTTTGTATTATTAGAATGATGTCTTTGTTTTGATTGTTGGAAAGAAGGCTTTTTAGAATTTTTAAAAATCTTTTCATTTAAATTATCCTTATTGAATGTAAATAAACATGTTGAAAATAATTGTTGTTGTTGTTGTTGATGATATGAATATGGATTGATAATATTATAGAATTGATGATGGTGATGATTTAATCTCCGAACAGAAAAAGCCTTCAAGGTTGAAATGTTCATTTTTTTTAATGAATTTTTAGCCTTTGATAAAGGCTTCAATCAAATTGACTTTTTCTTCCAAGTATTTGTTGATGATATGTTAAGACTAATATACTCTGTTTTTGATAGTAGTATTATTATGCACATTTACTTGTCAAGGCTTGATTTTAATTATGCTTCATGTTTTTTTGAAAAATTGAAAAAAATGATGCAAAAGGCTAAATTATTAAATCATCATCGTGTGTATCACAACAACAATACTACTAGTAATCTTATTGTTCGTTTAATTCATCATTATCAACAACAACAATATTATCATAATGATTGTTTAAATAATCAATTGAACAAGAAATCTTTAACTAGTTTTAAATCAACATCATCTTCCGAAGTATTATCAACAACAACAACAACAAGATTATTTTCTATTAGAAATTATTCAACAACTTTCAATAACAGTAATACTAATAATATCAATAATAATTTAAATATAAATTCAAATATAACAATTAATTCAAATAATACAATAAATACTATTAATACTCCTATTAATAAATTAGAAAATATAAATTATAATGAAATTTATGAAAATATTCAAAATATAATATTAAAATATATTGAAAAAGATGAAAATACATTTTCATATGAAATTGAATTAGAAAATATACTAAAAAAGGAATCATTACAAAATGGATTATTATATTTTAATAATATTCCAAATAAAACAAGTGAAATTTATTTAAAATTATTTAATACAATATTAATAATGAATAAAAATGAAAATAATATAAATTTAATTGATTATAATAAAAGTATATTAAATTCCATAAATAGAATAATTGATAATATTGGAAATATTGATAAAAAAAATGAAATTTATAAAAAATCAATTGAAACTTTAATTAAATATGATGGAATTAATGAAGCAATTGAATTATTAAATTCAAAATTTTTAAAAAAGAAAAATAATTTTGAAATTGATTTAATTAATTTAGTAATTGAAAATATGATTAAAAAAAATTTAAATGTTGATGAATTATTTAAATTTATAAATACAAATAATAATTTAATTAATGAAAAAACAAAAGAATTATTTATTTTAAATTCTAAAAATTTAAATGAATTAATTTTAAATTTTAAAAATTATAAAAATTTTAAATCTTTTTTAATTAAATTAATTGAATTTAATGGAAATGAAAATTTAATTGATGAATTTATTTTACCAAATTTAGATAATTTAAATGATGAAGAATTTTCTTTATTATTAACTTTTTATGATAAAAATGGAAATATTGAAATGATTAGAAAATTATTTTCTAAAATTAAATCAAATTTTACAATTTCATTTAAATTAGCTTTAAAATTTATGGCAAATGACATGTCATCATTAAATTTATTTGAAATTTGTACAAAATTAAGAATAGAAATATTACCATATAAAGCAAATATATTAAAAGATGGAAATAGTAATCAATTAATTTTAAATTATTTTAATTATTGTATTAATAATTATTTAAATAATATTAATGAATATGATAATGAATATTTAAATAGATTAATTAATAATATATCAACTATATTTGGAAATAATTTATCATTTATTTATAGAAATTTTAAAAATCAAACAAATTTAACTAATGAACAAAAAAGTAAAATTTTAAATCAATTAATTAAAAATATAAATAATTTAGATGTTGCATTAGAAATTTTTGGAAATTTAAAAAAATTAAATTTAAAAATTGAAAATGAAACTTTAAATTTAATTTATGAAAAATTAATTCAAAATTCTTCAACACAAAAAGATTTGGAATTTGCAAATGAATTTAAATTAAAATATTTAAATGAAAATAATGAAAATAATTTAATTGAAAATTTAATTTTAAATTTAAATTTTATTGAATTGGAAAAATTAAATAATGAAAAGGAAATTATTAAAAATGTAATTGAAATTTTATGTACCAAATTAGATAAACCATTTATAGCAGCAAATATTTTTAATTTTTTAATTAATAATTTAAAAAATTTTACAAATGAAAAAATTGAATTTTTAACAAATTTATTTAATTTAATATTTGAAACAATTATAGAAATGGAAACTAGTCACTTAAATGAATCAAAATATTTAAAACATGTAAACAAAATATTTTCATTTTATCAAGATGTTTTAATTAAATTACCAAATTTAGAAAATAATACAAATACAAAAAGAATTTACTTAAAAGGACAATTAATTTTTGAAAAACAAGATGAAATTAAAAAATTTATTGAAAATTATAATGATTCAATAATTTTAAATACTGAAATTTGTAATTTATTACTTTTATATTTATTAAATCAAAATAATTCAAAATCATTTAAATTACTAATTGAAGAAATGACTTCATTTTTAGAAAGTTTTCCAAATATAGAAACTTATGATTTAATGGCACAATATTATTTAAATATAAATATAGAAAAAACAATTGAAATTTGTAATAATATAATTAGATTATATCCTAAAAATGTTAATGCTTATAATATTTTAATTGAAATTTATGAAAAGGAAAAAAATTTAGAAAAAATTGAATTTTTTTATTTACAATTAAAACAAAATATGGTAAAACCAAATTTGGAAACTTTTAGATTAATTATTAAATCTTATTTACAACATAAAAATTATTTTACAAAAGCAGTTTCTATATTTAAAGAAATTTATCAAGTTTATAATTTAATTCCATCTTTGGATATTGTTTTAAATTTATTTAATGAATTACAAAATATTCATTTAAGAAAAAATCCAGAATTACAAAAATCTATTTTTAATTCTGTTTTAAATTGGAAAAATTCAAAAGTTGATGAAAATGTTCAAAAATTTCTAACTTTAATTACAACTTGTTATTTGAAAGGTTTAGAAATGATAACTTTACCAAATGATGATACTTATCATGTTAATAATATTTTAAATATAATTACAAATAAGGAAAATAATATTGAAAAGAATGATGAAATTTATTATTATATTACTTTAATTATTTTGAAAGGAAAATCTCAAAATAGAATTAAACAATTAATTGAAAAATCTCTAATTCCACTTGATAATGTTGGAACTTTGAATGGAATTTTAATGACATGTCATAGAAGACAATTTATTACTGCATTGTGGTGTTTTTATAATTTGAGAAATAGAGAAACAAGAAGAGATTTATTAACATTATACTTGTTAACTCATAATTGTAGAGATTTTTCAGATTATTTTGAAACTAGTTTATTATTTCAACAATTAATGAGTGATGAATCATTATTTGAAAATCAAGATTCATTACAATATGAAGATATCTTTTCAATTGAAGATTTAATGAACAAGTATTTGGAATTGACAATTTTACATGCAACTGATAAGGTTATTGAAGTTACTGATATCATGCTCTCACAAGGAATTCCAATTTCATCCAATAATAGATATACTGTTATTCATCAAGCACGTATTTTATCAAGACAAGATATTGAACTCAAACTTGGAATATTAGAAATTAAATAAACTATTTTAGAAATTGATTTTTTTTAATTTATATAAGGGTATTATAAAAGGACCCTCCCTTTTGACTTTTTTTCACCGGTTTTTCTATAACAAAAAAGAATTATTGAATGTTTCTAGTCTTGATCATTCCGTTAAGATCACCATAAGAAACCAAAGTTGGCTTAGATTGCAACAAAGTCTTAGCAACTTCAATAACATCAGCAGCACTGACAGAAGAAATAGCTTGAGCTACTTGTTGGACACCACCATAAGTAGCAGTGTGTTCGTGCAAACCAACACTTGATGAAACAGAGTTGTAGAGCTTGAGCAAAGCGTGATTCTTAGCACCTTCAAGAGCTTTAGCAGTCAAAGTAGATTGAACAGAGCTCAATTCAGCAACTGTGGATTGAACAGCTGAGGAAACTTCCTTAGCATTCTTACCAGCAAGGAAGACTCCGAACAAACCATTATCAGAGTATGATGAAACAAATGAAGATCCAAATTCAACATTCTTAACAGACTTGGCCAATCTGGAAGCACTGTGATTAACAGATCCAGTATACTTGTTGGTAGTTTGTCCCAAAAGTTCAGACAAAACAAGATATGCTACATGTTTAGAACAAGTGAGAGATGGTCCCTTATAAGCCAAAATAGCTTGAGTACCAGCATGAGAATGTTCGTGAATTTGCAAGTCACCTCCAACATATTCGGACTTTTCAAAAGTGAAATGTTCACCTTCTGGTCTTTCAGAAACTTGTGATGGAATTGATGAGAACAAAACATTAGCTAATTCTTTGAGTTCTTCGTGTGAAATGTTAGTACCAACCAAAGTCATACGTGGAGCAACATATAAATTGTTCATGTAAGACAAAACAATATCAGTATCAATCTTTGAGACATTGTGTGGTGGACACAAGAGTGAACGACCAAGAGTTTCACCATTGAAAGCAGTATGATGGAGAGCTTCATTCAAAACGAATTGAGCATTGTTTTGGAATTCAGAAATATCACGTTTAACAGCTTCAGCCTTTGGTTCCAAATCCCATGGATGCAATCTACCTTGCAAAACAGAGTTTGCCATAAGTTCCACAACAAGAGGAACTGATTCACGCAAAGCTTCAGCTTGATATACAATATGTTCACGACCAGTTTGAGCGCTAACACTAGCACCAGTCTTTTGTAATTCGCTTGTCAATCTCAACAAACTTCTATTGTTTGTGCTTGAGAAGAAGAACTTTTCAACAAAGTGAGAAACACCGCTTGTACGATATGTTTCAAAACGGGATCCAGCATTGACAAAAAGACTGACAACACTAACTCCTCTTGAAGTAGAATCCTATTAAAATTAATTTTTTAAATTTTCATCATTAAATACATCGTCGTCATTGACATCATAATTTCCAATAAAAATCGTTATTACCGCGGAATAAGTCTTCTCTTCTTGTTATTATTATTATTACTTACAGTTGAAACAACGTTCAAACCGTTTGGAAGAGTTGATGTTTGTGTTTGGAAAACAAGTGATTCTTCTTTAGCATCAATATCCTTTGGAAGATGAGGAGCTCCTGGGTAGAAGCTAGAAAGAGGAATTTCAGCAGGAGATCCAATAACGCTTCCCTTGTTATTAACACAAGTAGAGAAGCATCTATTATTTGTTGAGATTAAATTCTTGGTATTCTTAACAAGTTTTGAGATCTTCATCGTTAAATATTTTTTTCGAGTTGAATTTTTTTTTGCAAATTACAACGACCAAAAGGAGAAATAAAACGAAGGCTTCATCAGACATGAAAGAAATAAATTCTACTAGATATGATAACTCTAATAGAGTAAAGATAGAAGAAATAAATTGTCCCTGTAATTATTTCATTGAAACCACTCGATTTTATTAAGCAGAAAGATAGTCATTCCGAATTGATGGAAATTACAGCAAAAATCAGCACGGGATCCTCA